TGTACAGATACTCTGTAATCTACCAGTCATGTTGGTACAACTGTAGTTATAGATATTTTATCTTAACTGATCAATAGGATGCTGTTGCTATACTATCATCTATATATTTCATAGTTGATTATCCAAATTTTTACTATCAGTAGGTTTAAACTTATAACCTATACTTGAAGAGTTGACAACTTATTTACTTTACTAAGTTATTACACCCCTAATTTTTATTATTTTATATTTGACAGTTCATATATATCTAAATGATTTATATATATTTCTATATATTTGAGACCAATAATAACAATCATATATTTTATTAAACATTATTTTAATTTTAAAATATCTTCAGTTAAATAATCATGAATTAAGATCAATATCAACTTTTTTTTACTTTTATTTAATATTTTTAATAGGTTATCTTTATGTTTTTTATCTATTTTGTAAAGACAATCTTTTCTTGTAAACAAAAATTTACTTTAAACTTCTAATTTCTGTCATTAATTTTTATTATAATAGAGTGGATATTAATAAATTTTTTAGTATAGTATAATGTTATAGATTTATTTTTTTTGATTTTAGTGACAAGATACTAATAACCTGAATCTTTATTCTGCTTAAATGTATCTCTATTGATTAAGTATAAGTTTTTTTTTAAACTAAATTATATTTATAATTTTTAAATCTAGTATTTAATTAAGTTAGTATTTTTGATCAGTAATATAAAAATAAATATATATATATATATATTTTGATTATATTTGTCAGAATATCAACAATCTGAAAAGAATTAATTTTATTATTAGATTTTGTATTTTTTATGAGTTTATTGTTCTTTTTTTTTTCTTTTTATTATTATTATTATTATTATTATTTATTTAATATTTTTTTTAAAATTATTACTAATTTAATATTTATAATTTATATTCACAATGTTATCTAGAGATAACAGCCAATCTGAAACTTTAGAGTTAGTTGTATAATTATAAAACAATTTTTCTTTAATGTTAATATTTCACTAATATTCATTATATTCTAGATAGAAGTTATAAATATAATCTATATCTCATAATTCTTTATTATTCTTGAAAATTAATTTTTTATTTTCTAAAAAGATTTACTAATCTGATACATTTTATTAGACTTTACAGATCTTTTCTTCTTATTATCAACTATAAATTCATTTGTATTTAGTAATTTATATATTAAATAACAAGTTATTTTATTGTTCTTTTTAGGTTCATATTGTTAAATTAAGTCTATTTGATATTATTTATAAGAACCATAAAGGTATTTTATTTCTTAATTAGTCTGTTTTATCTGGTTATTAATCTTTTAAGTCTGGAAAATAAGATAATATTCTTTATTATCCTTCAAGTTATTGTAATATTATCTTTAATTATAGTTTAAATACTTCAAAATTTTATTTTTCTGATAACTTTGAAGATTACTTTAGGTTTGTATTTTTTTAAACACTTTTAAAATTTCTCATATCAGTTTCTTTTTGACAAGAATTAGAACTGTTATTTTTATTAACTTTTATTCTAGATAATACATCTGTATTATTATGTATTTAACCAACTTGATAGACTATGATAAAATTTTATAATTGAAGATATAAGATCCATTAAACTCTTTTTCTTTTCAATACATTAGTTTGAAACCATTTTAAAACTGAATAATTAATGATAATAACAAAAGACTTATAATCTAAATAATGATAAAAATATTCTATAGTTAATATTATTATATAATATTCTAATTTAGTAGTAGTATAATTTCTCTTAATTCTGATCAAGACTTATTTATATAAGTAACAGTATATTCTCTCTTAAGGTCATTTTTTTGTGCTAATATCACACCAAAACCAACATCCAATATATCTATATGAAGGTAAAATATTTTTTCAAAATCAGGATATCTTAATACTGCAATGTAATAAGATATGTTTTTAGAGTATTAAAATTTTGTTTATATTCTTTTTTTTATTCATATTTTATATTTTTTTGTAGTATCTTGTGTAATTGTTTTGTTACAATAACAAAATTTTTTATAAATAAATAATAGTATGAAGTGAAACCTATGAACCTTCTTAGTTATCTTAGATTGATTAAGGTAAGAAATTCTTGCACCTTTGATTAATTTATTTTTATCAGAATCACGAGTGTTCGAATTGAGACAATAATCCATACCTGATCCAAGGTCATGTGAAAAGTAATGGAAATATTACTTTTACTACTTTTGTTACTTCTGCTATTTTGATATCTTATATGATAAATGGAATATCAACCATTTATTACATTTAGTTAAGATATAGAGTATAAGGAATATGTTACATTTATGACAGAAATTAATTACCAATGTAAATAAAATGTTTATTATAAATAAAAGACATTTTTGCCTTGGAGAAAAGGGACAATGACCCCAGATACCAATAAATCCCTTAATAACACTAAATAACCGATCTCTAATAAAGTGAAAGTATTATTCTATACACTGGCAATCATAAATAATGCAACAAAAAAAAAATTTAGTCAGATCATATTATCTCACTCAATTCTGGACATATTTGTTAAATTTTTTTTATTTTATTCACAAATACTATCTTTTTAAGATAACAAAATTTTAATAATTGTTATTATTACCAATGTGAAGATAATTGTGAATTTATTACAAATTACGTGTTGCATTATTTTTGATCATATTTGACAAAGATCAGATCATGTAAGTTGTGCCACATAAAACATATAAAAATGGAAGTTTCATTGTTGATTCTGCATCTTGTGTAATGTTAGAATTGCTTACAAATCAAAAAAAAAAAATTTGTACAACTTCTACCAAACGAACCCAAATATTGCTTTCTCTTCAAAAAGGGTACACCACAAGAGCATTAGGTTAGACCCACCATGTTAACTTTTCTACAGTCTCGCAAATTAGAAAAAAGTGGTTAACAAACCACACACTTGAAGATTTAGAAAGGGTTGGTCATCCAACTTTGTTGAATGAACCAACCCAAAGAAGAATAATAAATTTAATTACCTCCCATTGCTGTTTTACTGCCATTGAAGTGAGGACCCACCTCAAAATAAACGAAGATATTGAAATTTCAGTGTCAACTATTCAGCAGATACTTCGAAACCATGGTTTAGTGTCAGGAATAAAAAAAAAAAAATCCTACCTGAATGATAGTCATCAAAAAATACATTTTGCTTTTGCAAAAAAATATGAAAAATAGATCATCGAAGATTGATCCAAGTTAATTTAGTTGGATAAGTCAAGATTTCAAATTTTTGGATCAGATGTTAAGCAGTACTATTGGAAGCATCATGGAGAACTATTAAATCAGTTCCATGTAAAGCCCACTATGAAATATGATAGTAGATTAATTATAATTTAAGGTTGCTTTACTTCTCGCGATGTCGACAGCTATTGTAAGGTTAATGGTATGTTGGATACAAATCTGTACCTAAAGATACTCTATGAAGATTTAATGTAAATGATTGAGGATCATGGATTTGAAGTCAGTGAAGTTGTTTTTCAACAAAATAGAACATCTTGTCATATGGCAACCTTGACCAAACATTGGCTTACAAAGAAGAAGATAAAGTTTTTTGACTGACCTCTCCAATCGACTGATCTAAACCTGATCGAACACTTGTGGAACGAAGTTGATCGTTGGCTTAGGGACCTTCCTGGTCAAATTTCAAGTGAAAAAGACCTCTGGGAAAAAATTCAGACGGTGTGACAGGCAATCGATGTTGAAACCTGCATGAGGTTAATTCGTTCAATGCCATAATGAATCCGTAATGTAATCAGAGCCTGGGGCAGCTACACCAGATGGTGATAGCTGAAAATTATTAGAAAAAAAAAAAATTTTTAGTTTTACAATAGTGTTGCTGTTAAAACAAGCAAAAATAATGCAATACGTATATTGAAATAAAGCTCGTGCCCCCCAAAAATTTTAATCATTAAATTTTTAAATCCTTTTTATTAATGATAATATTGCTATTTGCGAATAAAATAAAATAAAAATTTAAGAAATACGCCCGGAATTGCGTGATAATACGATCCGACTAAATTTTTTTTTTGTTGCATTATTTATGATCGCCAGTGTACAAGCGAATAAACTATCGTTAATCCCATTGTTATCTCTATCGTTCGTCCATAAACTCACCAACGATCTCCCGCCGTAAGTCGAGTGACCAAGAGGACCGTTAAACGAATAGAAGAGTTCCAACCTGATTCGACGTAGTGTAATCCCGGGTTGAGGTAGACAAAGAGAAGACAAGATTAGTACAAGAATAGGTTGAAGGAAAGACTCAAAGAGAGACCAGTACTTACCTACGGATAAACCACCAGCCAAATCTAACACGCCTATTTCGACTTAGCTTCCGTAGGTTACACGAGAATTGGAAGGAGTTAGCGACAGACTCGCCGAGAACCGAATCACACTATAAAGGTTTGCCTTATTCGGTTTTTATTCATTTTTCATCTTATAACATATATAGCACATACCACATCAAAGATTTTCGATTTTCTTTTCTAAATTTTCTCATCATTTTTTTTTTTTTTTTTAGTGCTTTAAAGACAATATAAATGAACAAAATAAAATAGTTTAAAACTCGAAATTTTGATATAATTTCATAACAAAGTCGTACCCAAAGTTGTTATTAAAATTTTAAATAACATCTTGTAATACTTTTTTTTTAATACAATTATCAAGAATATGATATACAATAACATTATCAATCCTTTCCCAGAACAGATACGTATATAATACGAAACATAATGATTCAAGTTTAGAATCTTTTCTTCAATTACGAATCTCTTTCAATTTTACTTTTTTTTTTAATAGAACGGAGCTCGGACAAAATTTATACTAAAATGAAACAAAATCTATACTAAAAGGAAACAAAATTTATACTAAAAGGAAACAAAAAAATTTTTATTAAACCATATTCTTGAATAATATTTATGTAGATTATGATCTGTTTTTCAATGTGACACAAGATTTACAATCCGATAGTCGATACACCCCAATGTGATGTCATATTACCATACCAAACATTAGCTGACTCGGCTATTGGAAGTACGTCTGCACCATATGCCCACACAATTTGGTAAGTGGCATCCAAACAATTGGTTGTTGAAAAATCGTAAGGAACTGTTTGAAGATCTTTTGTTTTTTGGATTGCATCATCAACTTTAGGAATTGGGATAATAGTTTTGATGTAAGATTTATATTGTAAATGTGTGAATGTATTAATCATGTCATCAAAACTCCCAGAACGAAACCAGAAGCCGTTTGGATTGTCAGTCATTTCAGAGGGTTTACCATCACGCGCTCCATAAGTATATTTACCATCATCAGTCATAAAACCCCAAGCAAGATGACCTAAATAAGAAGCCTCTTCTGGGTAGTTAAATATATAAACCTCTCCTCCATCTTTTATAGCATAAGAAGGGATACTAATCGTCAATAACATAATAATTAATAATATCAGAAGTCTTGAAAAGATGATAAATTTTAACATTTTGTATTTAGTGTAATGCGAAATAAATGGGTTGAAAAAAAATAATTTAGAGAACAGAACTATAATAATTTTTTTTAGGTGTTAAGTTAATTAAATGTTTAACTCGTCGTTAAACGACTGTTTATAAATGTTTTTTTTTCATCTCTTGAAAAAACAAAACAATCGTGTTTATTACATGGTGCACATTATAATAAGCATAATTATTGTACGATTAGCATTTCAAAAAAAATTAATGGTACGCACGATTGCCTAAGTATTTGAAATAAGTAATTTAAGTCTCTATATATTTACTATTTATAATTTTTTTTAGATTGTAAACATTAAATTATCCAAGTTCACGAATATTTGGTTCGTAAGAATAAGAAATTTGGATCAATTTAAATAAGTTATATTAAGGTCATGAATTTTACTAAGCTAATACATTTTAAGTGTTAGAATTTACTTTTGAAAATAAAAAATTTATTTATATTAAATATTTAAAATAAGTTATTCAAGTTCATGAAAATTTACCAGTTAATTTTATTATGCGCGTTAATTTAGCACATGATTATAAAAAGCTTATTAATTTAAGTATTTTATAAATAGAGTATTTCATAAATATTTATACTTTTTTTATTTTATTCGCGTTAAAGCATAAGAATAAATACATAATGACTAATTACTCAATTTTATCATTCACTAAATTTATCCTATCGTGAAAAAAATCGAATATATTGTGAGCTGATCCCGGAAGAACGTGGCAGGGATGATCGATGTGGCGCAGTAATGTAATTCACAGCTATGTCCTAAAATGGGTTTCCCGGGATTAAAGGTCGTAAAAGTCGTTTATGATTATTGGTGGTTATGATAGTGATAAGGGCAATAAGGGTAATAAAGGTAATCTATAATTAAAGGAACATATAATAATTAAGGGCTTTATAATATAGGACATTAAAAGGTATATTACGGATAATATGTTTAATACTTTTAGGAGGGAAACCATTATATAATAAAGGCTTCGAGCCCTACGAGAACAGGAGTTCGCTCTTGTAATAAAATTTGACCCCAATAATTCCTTGCTTTCGCTACATTATAATACCTACAATCATAAATTCCCCACTCAAATGCCCTTTGCGACTAAGCCGATTCGTAGTTTACACTACGTATCCGATCGTGGAGCGACCAACACGCCGTTACAAGGTGTCAATATTAATTAATAAATTTAATTCAGAATGACCGATCATGAGCAATCAATCATATGAAAATCCAAAAATTTTCGATCGATCACCATTTATATCAACTATACGAATAATATCTACCGTACAGTATCCTCGATATTTTACAAAAAGAGCAAATATTAATTAAAGAGAGGATACTATACACTGGCAATCATAAATAATGCAACACGTGATAATTTTTATTATAAAAATTATCACGTATTGCATTATTTATGATTGCCAATGTGCAAGGAGGTATAATGAAGAGAATATTAATAATGTTAGTTGATAATAATTTAAGTCCTTGTGACTGTATAAATCCGTAGAAGCTGGGAAACAAGAAGCCTATTTGGGAAGACTAATAGGATCATTGATTCGGATCATGAATGTAATAAATTACTACCCTGATTAGTACTAGGATATTCAATTGGATAGCATCCTGATGCTATTTAAAGGGGATACTTCTTCAGGAGGGTATTTCATGCTGTACGGACTATAATTTTATTTTAAATTGTGATATAAAATAAGCAATCAATCGCAATAGTGTAACTTTTGAATAGAAAAATGGATATATTTAATTTATTTTACTCATATACTCTCAAAGTGCACTTAGAGAATTTTGTATTTAGAGAATTTGCTTCGATAAAATCATAAAATAATGCAATTTAATATAACAAAATTTTGTTTCCAATAAAAATCTTTTATTTGTGGCTGAAATTGCACTTGCACTTAAAGGGTATAAAAAAAGCTCTGAGTGACGGAAAAAAACCTGTAAATCATGCACCTTGGATATTTACTTTTAATAGGAAGGTCTTAAAAAACCAAGTAATTGAATACTTAAGATTTTATGTTATTTGAATCGTCTTATTAATGATAAAATATTAATTGATAAGTTGCTTGATTTCAAAAATAATAATTCAAAACATAATTTATCCCATTCTTCGCATATACTCGATCACCTAAAACTAAATAAATACATGTCCAGTAGAATTAAGCACATGAAAAAGTTACGTAGATGAGGATAAGTGGATCTCTCGTTTTAATTTTTTATACCTTTTTGATCTGCTTTTTTTTTGATGTTTATAACTTGCCTTTCAATTTATACTATGACCTAATAAATACTATTTGATAATCTAAGTAGTAAATAAATTAATCAAAGAGAATTTTATTTTATATTTCTGCAATCTAGACAAAAAAATTTGTTGCTTCGAATAACCAGATCAACATATCACTCTAGTCATTTAAAGTAAGGATGATAAAAAAAAAAATTGTTTATTGATTTTAATGTTTTTTAAATTGTTTTTAAACTCAGTTTAAACATTGATGGTTGTGGCGGTTGATAAATTTACTACTATTTTACTATTTTGATTGATTTTAGCTTTATCAATGACATTTAATTCTTAAGTACGATAACAATTATTCTATTAATAAGGCTACTTGATATTTGTTTTAAAACAGAAAAAAAACTTTTTAGGACAATATAAAAACACTGTATTTTAAAACATTTGCCATCCTTAATTAGAACTAACCCAGTTTATTACTCGGCAATAATTTTATAAGTGGATAAGTAAACCGGAGTTTAAATTTTATGTTGAGAATACAACAAAATAGGTTAGTCACGCCAAATCACGTCATCGACGATCTCTTCCGCCACTTTGACGTAGCCTGATAAATTTAATTAATACCAGGAACGTGGCAATGAAATTACAAAGTGCATGGTTATCAAACAACTAGAATGGTAAGTGCACAAATTCGGTGTTTTTGATTAGATTGTGATCATGGGTATAAAATGTGAATAAATTTGTAATGATATGCGTACGATGATAATTGTATAAAGCAAAGGTTTCATATAGTATTACTTGGAGATATATGGATATGAATCATGTAATACGTCGATTTAACCGAGTCTTTCATCATATAGTACTAATGATGCGTCAAACTTATCGTTATTAATGTGTTGCATATATAAATTGGTAATTTATAATATTTTTGAATGTTTTCTAATTTCCTGGATAGGAATTTTAAAATAGAAGTAGGATCTTTTAAGCTCCTGCTTAGGCCAGACCAATTTAATTCGGTGGTTTACGTTATATCCTTCACACTAAGAAAGGGAAGACTGAAGATAGGAAGGGAGATTGCTATAAATTTTTTTCAGAAAAAACCTTTTACGAAATAGTCCGTAATATTATAAAAATTTTTGGAAAATTTCGCATCCATAGTGGGAGGTCAGAAGAGGGAATTAAGTTGGTCTGACCTTATGTTAATTCTGAAACCCAAGAAGATAAAATAAGTATACATGTCTCTTGTTAAAATTCTTATTTGCTGTTAATATTATCGGTTCTAGAGAAGAGAAATAGGGTTACTATTTTTTGCAACTTATTATATTATTATTTAACGTTAAAAGATTCATCAAAGGTCAAAAGAATTTACTGTATATGCTACGTTCCTGGTTTGAGTGCGACTACGTCGCGCAGCTACCCTAGTTTAATATTGATTTATCGGCCTACGTCAAAGAAGCTGGAAGAGATCGTCAATGACGTGATCTCGACATTTTTTGCCATGACTAACCTATTTTAATACAACATTAACTCATGTTATGTTCATGTGATGAAGACGCGCGGAACGTCTCAAAGATAATGCAAGTAATGAGTAGCTTGTCAGCAAAGTGACAAATCGATCATTATTGCGAGATTAGATTACCTTACGAGATCACATATTCAATTTGTCGTTTTTGACTCTTACGGGCTGTTTTTATACTTGTTGCTGTATTGTTTCGTTAGATGCAGGTTTTTCTTGTCTTAAATTATAATTCATATGATTGTTGAAGGACTGATATGTATTAGTTAATTGATAATAGAAGTAAGAGGTATTATCATCATATGGGTTGTGTATTTAAGGATGGTTTTTTTTTGTAAACGAAGTTGTTTTTTTCTCTTCGTTATTGCTCGACTCGCAGGAAGGCTGGCTCTATCGTTCCGCCCAACCTCTCCCATATTCCAGTGACTCAGCAAGAAGGGTTAATGCTTGGCGGATTGTTAAATAGGCAAAATGTAATAGTAATATCAGGCACCGCGTCTGCAGTAGCTATTGTGAGCCTCGAAATCGGTCATCACTAGTGATGTGCCAGCCGTCCTAGTATCACCCATAAAAAAATGTAGCTGATGTCATCATCGATATACACAATTTTAAATTCCGATAATTTAGCGATTTTTATTTTATTTTTTTATTAAGCATAACCATTTAGCGATAATAATTTTTTAATTAAACATTTTCATCTATTGAATACTATGTGCATATACATAAAAAAAATAATTAAATGGTGAATTGTGATTTAAATCTGTCCAAGTTCGAGGTGTTGTTTTGCGATTTTCAAGTTTTTTTGATGTCTTCAACCATATTTTCTAAAACTTAAAATTTGAACGGACAGATTTTAGCCAGATATTTCGATTGGATTTATTTCGTGAAATGTTTAGAATTTTTTTACTCTAACAAATAATAATACAAAAATAAATAAATTAACGTTGACAATTTAAAAAAAATACGATGTCACTACCTCTTCAAGCACATTGCACAGGTGATTTAAGACCTCTTCATCTGAATTTTCTTTATCATCATCACTGCTAAGTACGAAGTCATTTTCATAGTCTTCAATTGAATTGTAATTTATTGGAATGCTTTTAATATTTATATGAGTGTCTTGAAAGTTAAAAACATTTGAAATTTCACTATTACTTATTCCAATAATCGGATAGTTATTATTTCATTGCACCTGTAATTGTAAAAATAAAATAAAATAAAATATGTAATAAATAATAAAAAAGTAAAATATTAAATATTCATATTTTTGGATACCTTTTTAAAGAAATCACAATCTATTTGGTCAACTCTAGTTATAAGATGTTTGCATAAAAAAAACTGACTAGAAAGATATGAACAACAAGAACAAGTCCAATTATCTGTGTTTGTTTTATATTGATTAGGAAAGTTAATTTTTTTTTTTTTATGTATTAGCCATTTTTTTTTGAGCTCTTTTCTCCATGAAACTGTATAATGATTTTGTTGCAAAAGACAAATTCAGTAAAGTTGTTGATTAATGACCTTATGAATAAGAATATAATATAAGTATCAATGCATAGTCAGTGAAACTTATGTAAGTATTCATGTTTAACATGTTGTCAATGTGATTCAATGATCATAGTTGTTTTAATATAATTAATTCTATAATTTGCAGCTCTTGTTTACAAAGTTCATTTTTTATAAGAATATCATTCTGATCATAAATAAAGTCAAAGTTTAAATAAATTATAGTCTTGACAGTATCTATGAATCTCAGTAACTGATTCTTTTCAAATTGTTTTTGAATTTGTTACAAATTCTCTATTAGGTTTTAGTAGTAATATATGACAGTTATAATGTTAATCAACAAGATTAATTATATCATTTTAAAATTCTAAAAGACAAATTATTTCAAATTTTCAGTCTGAGACTCCCTTTGGATCAATTTCTGAATACTCTTGATTTGCTATAATAGGATTATAATTATAATTTCAGATATTTTTTGATGAACTTAATTTTTACTTTATAACACATCATACATGTCATGCACATAGTTGCAAACAAGATTCTGACCATACTAATTGTACAGCATTTATTTCAGAAAATGCTTTATTAATGAGAACAAGTAGAAAACCAATCAATTGTCTAATTTTTAAACTGTTCATTCAATTAATAAGTACTTCAGTACTTTATTTTTTTCTGTTTCAATTAAAAGGTAAATTAATAAAAATTCTGTTTCATCAACTATACCCATTAAAGCATATAATTCCTATTCTATACTATTAGTATTGTATGTTGAGTCAATTTTTATTGCTTCAAATTTGTTATATGGAAGTATATTAAAAAGTGCAGTTGTAAAACCAAGAGCACCAATTGGAATAGTTAGATTAATAATTATTTCTTGATTAAACTCATTTAATAATAAGTATGTAAATTTAAAGGATCAAAATCACATTGATAAACCCTTCAGGATTTAACAAACCACTAGTAGTATGTTTATTAAATACTTAAATTATTATAGCCATCAAGTTTTTTTTCTTGAATTAACCACCAGAGCTCAAAAACTGAATAATTTATATTGTACTAAATAAATTTACATATCTTTTTTGTAGTTTGATTATGTATTAATCTTAGATGTAAAGTTAAATATAAATATTTAACTTTAATTAAAGTGTTATTTATTTTAATATTGATTCATATTGTACCTTTACAATTATATCATTGAAGCTGTGTAGGTTTGTCTCTTTGTTTATTAATATCTAGATTTTTAGTCTTAAGTTTACCAAGCTCTATTTGACAATTGCATTAATAAATTAATTAAGTTTTATTTTTATTTAAATTTTTTGATTTATATACCTAACTGTAACCATCTTTTTTCTCTATATATAATACTATTTGACAACCTAGCTTTTCATATTTTGTTGATTCTTTATTCTCTAAATGAACATCGAAATTTATATAGAACTAAAGTATCACTTTTATAATTGTCATTTGAGGCTTTTAGAGAAATCAAAGAATCATATACAAATTTACTAATGTCTTCATAATCAATAACTGATTCACTTTTAAGGCTGGCTTCTTTAATTCGAATTTGTTCTAAAAACTTTTTCATTTGCTATGGCACTTTTGGCAAGTTGCTAGTAGTTTTTTCTTTCTGTTCACACTATTTTCATACTCTTGTTTCTGTTTTATATAATATAAACCACAACCAATTTTTTTTTATCCATATTAAAAGTTAAAGTTTTAAAAGTATTGGTATAATAATTAATAAAAATAAAAGTTAGATATCATCATCACATGATAATTAGTAATGTCAGCTACATTTTTTTATGGCTGATACTAGGATGGCTGTAATGTGCCATTTATATGATACCTGAAAATTTTTAATGTACAGTATATATAGTGAGTGCAGTACAAACAGTGCATACAGTATGTATAGTACATATAGTATTTATATGTAAAAAAAATTAACTATATAATAAAATTAATTTGGTATCTATATTTTTAAAAATTAATATATAATATTATCTGGCAAACTCTTATAATCATGAATTGGCACTTGCCTTGTTATTTTTTTATGTACTTCAATGTAATAATGATTATTTAAATTAAATTCAACTAATGAGTTTCTACCAATCATGATTATAAATTGTCAGATAAAAGGGAATTAGAGTTCCATAGCTTAGTGGTCTAGGCATTTTGCTCTTAGAATTAAGTTGCTTAGAATTTTTATTTGTTATAGTTTCTAAATTCTTATTTGCTTAAATCTAATATTTTACTATAGTGACAAAGTAATTTATAGTTTTATTTTAATGATATTGTTTTTATAATTAATAATTTGAGTTTTTGCATTACAAAATATATTTATTTATATTTAGTAATTTGATATTTAATAACATTTTTTAATTAATAATTTGTTATATTTTTTGTTTAGAAATATAATTAATTAAACATTATTATTAAATATATTTTTGAATTCAGATTATATATAATTATAGTTATGTTAGTAACTATATTATCTTAACTCATAGCTTATTAAATTACTTTATAATATGAGAAAATATTTTTTATGCACCAGCATGGCAGTATATCTCTTTAATTAGCCAATTAGATTTTAAAATTTGGTATTATTTTTAATTTAATATAATGTAAATATGATATAATACAACAATTTTGCATTTTAATTAGCTAATTAAAAAGATGCACTACTGTGCAGATGTATAAAAAAACTAAACCTTTATAATATAATTATTAAAAAGTTATATATATTAGTTTTTTTTATTATAATTAGAATTATTTATATAATTATTAATATAAATATATTCCTATTTAGATTTTTATTTTAATTTGTTAATTTAGCATCAATTTGAAAAAAAATAATAAAAAAAATTTGGTTCAATTCAAAAATAAAAAATAAATAATTTTTTTTTGAAAATAAATATTTTTTATAATAAAAAAAAGACATTTCAACTTTCTTTGTCAATCCTCAATTCTAAAACAAAGAAAAACAAAACACAAAAATAACAGGAAAACAGGTTAGCACACACTCTTTAGACTACTAACAAAAGAGCTATATTAGAAGAAAATACATATAGTATAGCAGAGTTTAAAAGACAAAAGAAGCTATACTAAGGTGCTAACAAGAAACAGCAATATTTTCAACAAGAAAAGTGAAATTTTTGAAGAATTGACATTATTCTAAAAAACAAAAAACAGAACAAGTAATAATAGTAGCAACAACAAACAACAACAAACAAACAAAACTTGCTACCTAATTGGGAAACAACAAGCATTACTATAGAATTAGTAATGTAGTATTAATAACATACTAATAATATTACAAAAGCATAATTCTAGATACTAACAAGCCAAAAAGGAAGATCCTGATCTAGTCTATTAGAATATAAACCAATAGATGAAAACTGCAATGCAAATATAATATCTTATATTAAAGAAATAGGAAATAGAAATCGAAGACATGTAGACTATAGAATTTTGAACCAAGTTCTCAAAACTCTTACACAAAATCTAAGTAATATAAAGCATATTGCTAAAGAGTTAATAATATATAATCCAAAACATATCATGTTTCATAACATGCTAGTATATGATCAAATATTAGAAACTTTAAGATTAGCAAAAACAAGTTGGCTTAAAGAAAAGATAATTAATAAGTAGACAGAATAACTTAGGTCAATAAGCTTCAATTTAGGCTCTTTTGAATACAATACAAATACAAACAAAGAAGTAACATACCAAGAAGAAAAAAGAACAAATGATAAGTAAGAACTAGTAATACTAAAAGAACAAATAAAAAGCTTTAGTATTACTATACCATATCATCAAACAAGTCAAACTGCTAATGAACCCAAAATGCTAAAAAATAATATATCACAAGAAATAGAGAAAAACAGTGAAGACATAGATATAGAATTAGAAGAACAAGAAAAAGAACTAATCAATAAAGAAACTAGCATTTCATTTTCTGTGAGTATAATTGAACATAGCTGATAGTCTTCAGAAAATAGAATATGTAATAGAAACAAATCATTTAAGTCAAATATGTCAACAAATACATTGCCAAATGAATCAAAAAAAGAAAGAATAAAGTATGTTCAGTGAATCTTAGGAAATAACTATCATATTAAAATAATCAAAGAAGTGTTCAAAAATAGAAACAATTAGATAGAGATAGATTTCAACTGCAAATATAGTAAAGATACAGCAATAGACAAAATTAAAAAAAAGAAAATAAATAACTTACAAATGCAAGTTTAGGAGCAGAATAGAGAGAAACAAGAGCAATTAAAGAATTAAAACCAGAATCAGAAGTTACGATATATGATAAAACTAATTCCAGAAGAAGATAAGAATAAAATTCAAAAAACAGATCAATAAGAAAAACACAATACAAAAAGAAGAGAAGAAAAAAATATAAAGCAAACAAGAAAAAATGAAGAACTAATAAAAACAAAAAAAGTAAAGAAACATGAAAAAGAGGGGTATGGCGTCCTAGTGAAGTGGTCAGGTTGTCAACCCCCCAAGTGGTAGGTTGGGTGTTCAAATCCCATCGATGGTGAAAATTTGG